TTGTAGTGGAGCAGAAAGGAGTTCCTCTTATGCTCATCGGGCGGGGCTACACCAGTAAAGGACCTGGTGGGATCCCACCAATCACAATACAACGTTTAACCCCAGTTGAGCGACATTCTGCGTCAGCGTTCTCCCACGAAGAACTTGGTAAGCTGGTGGTCGGAAGCTACTCTGAATACAACAACCACTTTGTGAATGCTTTCCACCACAACAGCTACGTCTACTTTGTTTTCTCGGCACGACGTGTGGGGCAGACGAGAGTACCGAACCTGCGCTGTTTGTGGCTATGGCCATGAGACAAGCATCAACTCCCACATCGGTTCTGTTGAAGATACAGCAAATTCATTTTGCTCCATTTAATTTATATGATCACTGAATAGCACTGAAGTCTATTGAGAAGATTTCAGTTTCATAACAAAGCCAAGTGATACTGCATAGTAATTCTTCATAACACTGACAAAGGCAACTAACTGTTTACTAGGAACATAAAGTAACATGCTAACAAGCATTCACAACACTGTTTTAAACACCCAGGCATTTAAATGGCAGTGTATTATAAAGCATTATTGACCACATGGCATTGTCCTCACAACCACCCCAATGTCCTAGAAACCACATCACTTTAAAGGGTCACGAAACACCAAAACACATTTTTTGAGCTGTTGACAGTCGTATATTTGTCCCACACTGCTAAAAACACTATTAGGACACCTATATTTCACTAAAAAGTGTAAATTGTTTGTTTTTGCGTTATTTCAAGCAAATTCGTACCTCCTGTTTGAAACAAATTTTTGAAGCTGCGTCACGGTCATGACATAATAGCGTGTATTCCAGCGTGCAGACTGGGCGTCTGTGCCAGAGTGTGTCTTATTACGTCTTACAGTGTGTTGCATTAATGCTTGAGTAAGGCTTGGTTCAAACCAATCAGCGCGCTCTATTGTGCAACTTCATTAATATTCATTACTCTCACCGTGTTTACGTGACATAGACGCCACGTTGTGTTGGCAAAACAAGCGTGAAGTGTTGCTTTTATAGTTTGCTGCCGTTAAGTTTCGTTTTCATTTTCTCTCTGTGAGAGCTCATCTGGATCACGTGTGGATTAACAGTGTACGCGACGCTCGACAACAATAACTTATGTGTCTAAGGAGGATTATTGTTTACCTGAGAGCTGTTCTCATCTGCAAACGCTGAGATCCGGATTAGCTTGTAGTCTTCTCTTAATAAAGACGCGGCTCTAGTTGCTGTTGATTGTCCTGTCTCTACAGATTTGGTGAGCGACCAGTGCTCTTTGTTTATTAAGTTTGTTCGTATCGAACTAAGTTAACTATTGCACCGAGTGCAAACATGTTAGCACCACAACCAAACTTTAACCTTGTGTAGGGTTTTTACCGCATTTTGTGACCGGAATAACACACGCGGCTTTCTGACGCTACCTGCCGTGTGCATCTAAGTTTCCGGAAAATGCGGAGGTTTTTTTTCTCTCATTCGTCGTGCGATATCAAACATTGCATGTAAAATACACGCTTAGAGCAGTTCCTCGAATCAAATATCTCGTTTGTCGCGAGGGGCATGAATGAATTCCCTGAATGAAAGAGCCAAACTGCAGTTAAAGTCCACCATTTAATAATTTGGCAAATAATTCGACTACAGATGTCCATGTAGGTTAAACACCATAACTTTCTCCTGTGTGTGGGTATTTTGACTGAAACTCGCGCGTGCCCAAATAGACACTCCCACACCATCCCACTTTAGTTCCTCCGACACTCCCCCCTAAACAGAGCTGGACACGCCCACTTTTCTGACTTTTTTCCAAAGTAGAGGTGTGAAAACACCCTGCTGAAACGAGAGGGTTTCATGGCCCTTTAAAAGACTAAGTAATTGCATTGGAACACCCAACCAACTACATAGAAACATGCTACTAAATATTTAGAACACCCTCACAACAGTTTAGCAATTCCTTGCATGACACTCAAGACAGTCTAGCGACCCCATAACAATATGAAACTTCTTGAAACCTCAGCAATAGTACAATTCATTGGCAACCACACAAAAAAAAATCTAACATCTAGAGTCCTGCATAGGAGGCACTCTGCGTTTATTGCATCAGATGATGCGTCAGTCGATTCTCTATTTTCTCTCTGTTTTGTTCAAAGGTTGGTAACTGGATGTAACATCTGAAGCTTGTGACTTTTGAGCAGTTGATTAAAGCGGTGTCTGTTTTCACAGTTTCGTAAGTAAAACCAAAAAGGCAACAGCTACAGGCATCATGCATAATTTAGCACCTAACTTCTTCACATCTCTATTACTTTTTTTATCAGCGCTCTTATATTTTCACACACACACACACACACACATGCTCTTTCTCTCAATTTCCCTACTCCCCCCCCCCTCTCTCTCTCCCTCAAATCTTCATAATTCAGAGGAACAATCTAGTCATTCTCAAGTTATCTTGCGGCATTCAGAATCGGCCAGTAAACAGTGAGTCAGACACCCCGAGACTGACACAAACACACGCAAAGGGTGTTCATGATAACAGAAGGCACGCTTTGGTAGGTTTTATCAGCCGCCGTTCTTGCGCTTGCCATTCGTACTCTGGCATTCCCGACTTTTCTGAAGTAAACTCCAGCATTATTGCGTGTTTCTTGGTCTCAGACGCATGTCTTTTATAGCACCGGACCAAAGCCTGGCAGTCTCACTCAAGCATCCTTCAGTGCCTGTATGAAGGTGGCAGGACTTTGAAGAACAAAAGAATGTGTTTGAAGCCTGTAGTCTTTGTGCTGCATGGCGATGTGCGGCAGTAGGTATTCTCTGTGGTGTTTTTCTGTTAACTTAACATTTGTCTTCTCTCTCTTTTCCCCTCCCTCTCTCTATATATATTTTCTCTCTCGATCAACCATCTGAATCTCTGGCTTCCTCTAACACTGACTATCTCGCTTTGCCTTCTGACTCTGTTCCTTCCTTTTCATGCGTTAGTCAACTTTCCATGCCCCTCTCCCTCTTACTGTCTTTTCCCATATCTTCACTTCCTTCCCATAACTCACACAATACCTTCCTTGTTAATTTGTATCCCTGTTGTTTATATTCTCAACCTATCCCTTCATTCTGCATTCTCTTTCTTTATGCCTATTCTATGATGGAAAAATTTTTAAAAAATAATTCATGCTCTCATATCTAGGTTGGACTACTCAATATCGGTCCTCGGGTCACACATTTTGTATGTCTTCCTTACTTAACACACATGATTCAGATCATCAGCTTAATAACAAAGAGATCTATTAACTGATCCTTGTGTGTCAAATATGAGAGAGATACAAAATGTGCAGGGCGGAGGGGCCCGAGGACCTGAATTGAGAACCTCTGGACTACTGTAACTCACTATATTTTGGGATGAGTCAGACAGCTTTATCCTGTTTGCAGTTAGTTCAAAATGCTGCTGCAAGGCTTTTAATGAGTACCAAAAACATCATCACACAGTCTTAAGGCTGATTTATACTTCTGCGTCATGCGCACGTGTATGATCCGGTGCAGCCTTTGTGCGGTCGCATACTCGACGCTGACACGCACCTCTCAAAAAATGTAACTACACATTGCGACGATGCATAGATTGGTCTGCTTGGTAGCTGTGAAGGTTTGGGCAGTGCTGAGAGCCACGAGCCTGATGGAGCAATTGTTTACAAGTGTCGAGTCCTCCAGATGGAAACTTTATTTTTGTGTTTACCTTATGATTAAAGTTGTTGCTCGTCTGCCGGTTCCCGCCTTTGAATGAGCAAGTTTTAGCTACTTCTAGCTAAACAAAACAAAACACCCTCAAAGAAACTCAGTGAAACATAAAAACATACTGCCAGCTAGCGTTTTGGAAGTGTAATTGCAGAGCAACACAAACAGCACACAGAAGTATAAATGCCCGACTACGCGCAAGACAGTCGCCGGTCACGCTTGACGCAAAAATATAAACTAGCCTTTGCACTGATTACCTTTGCATCCTGCCACTTTTAAAATTCTTCTCTTGGTTTTTAAAACACTAAATGGCTTGGCACCTTCTTACCTGTCAGATCTGCTGACTAAACATCAGCCTAGTTGGTCCCTTTGGTCATCAGACCCGAGATTATTATGCACCCTTACGTCGAGGGTGCAGGACTGACCGTGTATTCGCAGTAGCTGGTCCTAGATTGTGACATGCTTTGTCCCTCTGTATTGAATGTATATCACCTCTGTCTATTTATAAATCTAGGTTGAAAGCTTATCTTTTAGTCGGCAGCTAGCTCTCCGCAACTCTCACGTGGTCGCCCACTGAAGCTAAGCAGGACTGTGCCCGGTCAGTACCTGAATGGAAGACCGCATGGGAAAGCTAGGTTTAGGTGCCAGAAGTGGTGTTAGTGAGGCCAGTAGGGGGTGCTCAATCTATGGTCTCTGTGGGTCCTAATGCCCCAGTATATTGATAAGGACTCCATGCTGCTAAGTGAGTGCTGTCTTTTGGATCAGATGTTAAAAACCGAGGTTCTGACTCTCTGTGGTCATCCCAGGACTTCAGTCGAAAAAGAGTTGGGGTTTAACCCTGCTATCCTGTCCAAATTTGCCCACTGGCCTCTGTTCATCAAGGTCCCCATATCATAATTGACTTCATCACTCTGTCTCCTCTACACCAATCAGCTGGTGTGTGGTGTGCGGTCTGGTGCAATATGTCATCATTTCATCCAGGTGGATGCTGTATGCTGTGGTGGTGAATGAGGACATTCCCCCCAAAAATGTGTAAAGCGATTTGAGTGTCCAGAAAAGCGCTATATAATTGATTATTATTTTTATTATTGATTTGTCATTTTATCAGTGAGAATTGTTTGTTTTAGCTAGAATTTTATATCTGTGCTTTTGTGATTTGTATTGTCCAGCACATTGGTCAATCTTTGCTTGTGTTTAATAATGCTATATTTAAAAAATTGACATTGACACTTCTTTTCAACCTCCCCCTCTTTCTTTCTTCTTGATCCCTATCTCTTTTTCAGCAGGTGAGGGGGTGCCATGCCAGCTGCTGCTCCCCTGTTGCTGCTCCTCGCCATCGTGTGGTGGCCTCTGGTATTGCCTCTGGCCCTCGGTCATCTTCAGAGTCCCCCAGCATTCATCTCCCTCAATGGCTCCCGGCTCAACCACCTCCTGCTGGACAGCCACTCAGGCCACGTCTACATAGGAGCGGTAAATGTCCTCTACCACCTTTCCCCGGACTTGCAGCTGCTCTCCTGGGGCAAAACAGGCCCTAAATTGGACAGCCCGGACTGCTTGCCTCCCATTGATCCTAATGATTGCACTCAGGCAGCAACTACAGATAACACCAATAAGCTTCTGTTGCTGGAGGAGGTAAGAGGAGGGAACTCGTCCAGCTTGATAGTTTGTGGGACAGTCCTGCAGGGCATCTGTGAGAAGAGAAGCTTGCATAATGTCTCTCAGGTGCTGTACAAGACCGACAACCCTGTGGACACACAGTATGTGGCGGCGAATGACCCAAGAGTGTCCACGGTTGGTGTTGTGGTGGAGCAAAAAGGAGTTCCTCTTATGCTCGTTGGGCGGGGCTACACCAGTAAAGGACCTGGTGGGATCCCACCAATCACAATGCGACGTTTAACCCCAGTTGAGCGACATTCTGCACCGGCGTTCTCCCATGAAGAACTTGGTAAGCTGGTGGTCGGAAGCTACTCTGAATACAACAACCACTTTGTGAATGCGTTCCACCACAACAGCTACGTCTACTTTGTGTTCTCTCGGCGCGACGTGTGGGGCAGACGAGAGTACCGAACGTATGTGTCCAGACTCTGTGCAGGAGACCCCTTTTTTTACTCTTACGTGGAGGTGCCGCTTTCTTGCAATGGAGGATATAATCTGGCTCAGGCGGCCGTGCTTGGCTTTCACCGGGAGCAACCTGCGCTGTTTGTGGCTATGGCCATGGGACAAGCATCAACTCCTACACCCACAGACAAGTCGGCTCTTTGTGTGTACACGGTGGAGGAGCTGGACAAAGCTCTGCATGCTGCCCAGCTTCTGTGTTACACACAGGAAGGCAAAGATGTCAATAACAAAGAGAAGGCATACATCGAGTATGAAGTGTCCTCCAGATGTCTGAATCTTCCACAGGTAAGTTGTTGGCCTATGTTTACCTGTTATTCCTAAAAAGCCGATATGACAAATATCTTATATCATGATCTCACAAAAGTACCAATCCTGTACTAAAAATGTACTCTAGGGAAAGTAAAATCACACGTTTTTAAAACTTCTTAGTAAATTACAATTCAAGAGTTCACACTTAGATACTGTTTGACAACTTGTTAGTAAGTTAGCAGGTTTGGCATGCTGTCCCGGGAGAGAACCCTGAGCTCTGAGATAGTTGAGCCCAGGGCTCCCGCCAGGTCCATAAAGCATGTGAGGGGAGTACGAGGTCAGGTGTTCTCGAGAGCTCCCCTCGGCAAAAAAGGAAAGAAGGAGAAGGGGTGGATGGGGGGTTTCTTCGGAAAACGAAGATAAGGGAGTAGATCTTAGCTAGGTTATTTATAGTGAGTTTGGATCGATCCGACTGGCTAGCCAATGAGTGTAGATGAGTGGCCAGCTGCAGTCAATCATATCACGTGCTCCTCTCGAAATTAGTTTGTGAAACTTCATTTCCTGAGAAAAACTACGTAAGTACAATGATTTGAGTTTTTCAATTATGTTTAGAAATATGCCAAATTTAAATATTCATTCAATTACATCTAATTTATTAATCAAACTCGTTATTATGTTTTCATTGTTTTGAGGGATGTCGAGTGGTTCTCAGTGACATTTGTGATATAAAATAAGCATTAAGGGAAACAGGTTTTGTGAACACTTATGCTGTCTTTTGGTGCTCTAGATTTGCTGGTTTCAAACTGTTGAATTCATATTTTTTGGCGCTAACATGCTTTTACATGGTATGGACTGTTATACGGGTGGTCAAATGTATATTTAAATAATTTATTATTTAAATTATTAATATTATTTAAGATACAGATCAGAGAAAACTATTTCTTGACTATTTAAGGGCATACATCTTGTTTTGATGTCCTTCAGGAGGGATCAAGCTTTAAATTGGGGGTCTGACCTAGGGATGCATTATTAACATTATTATAATAATAACATTATTTTAGAACTGATTCGATCTCGATTCCAAAAATTCTGAGTATCGACCGATACAGATCCGATCCCAATACTATGTTTTTTTTTTTGTTGCATAATACAGTTTCTACAGTTCTGATGATAAACTCAACTAATATATCTTCTTTAGTAAAAACAACGCCCCTACAGGACTACTGTATATGACAGATGACACAATCTACCTAAAACATGATGCTTCTATATACTATTGGCTACATTCCTTGAGCATTAGTTATGACTTTGATCTGATCTGTTGTGGTCCAGCTTATGTTTCCTTTTCTAATATTAAGATTTTTCTGAGAAATCTGTAACAGGCTACCACTATTGATGCTAATCGTTGGTAAAAAATAACCAACCTTTTAGCAAAGCCTGATATTTTCCTGCAGGTTTGAAGCAGACTAAACTAAACTTTCTGAGGCCAGTTTTACTTAATAAACATTCCCTCGCCAAAAAACGTTGCGAGTGAGACGGAGAAATTGAAAGCATATCTAAAAAATGATCTTTTTTGTCTGAAAAATTATCCTTTTGAAAGGAATTTGGTTTGGTATAATTTGTTGGTTATTTTATTGTATTTTTGTTGGTCAGTTATCTACAAAATAAACAAGAATATTTGAGGTGAAGTTCAAAACAAGGTTCGCTTATCAGCGCACAAACTGACAAACAGGCCTGTTAAATAAAATATTAATATATAAAATTACAGTGAAATATTCACAGTTTCAGTGCAGCCTATATTAGGCTAAATCATTTTCTGTTAATGACAATCCATATTGCGCCCGTCAGTTTCACTTTTATTAATTTAATCAACTACTTTGACCACAGTGAGCCAGGCTTTACAAACTATTACCATTTACAGTATTCCCCTTGGAAGAATAAGCTTAGTCGGAAGGATGAGAAAACAAACTTGTTGTGAGAATAATTTTACAGAGTGGCGCATGTCGCGTCTGCACAGCCGGTGCATGAATGAAGCATCACTGAGACACAGGCGCAGGCCTCCGGTTTACGGACACTTCCAAAACAGCAGCACAAAGGGAAGAAATCAGTACCTTGAGGATCTGTCTAACATAATATTTAGCCTTTTCTAATTCAAAATTTCAGGTAGGCCTACTCTGTGTGTGAAGAGCAGGTAATAATCCTCTCTACTCCTGTGTTGTAAATGCTATCTGCTGGTCTAAACGGACAGTGCAATATGATTTAGAAACAGCAATGATCTCCATGTTGCAGGTCAAAATTAACCCATTTAATGTAAAACTAAATGAATTTCTCCACTAATTATTAAAAAAAAAGGAACAAATAGTCTTTGGGAAAGTTGTTCGTGTTGTCATAAACGCAACACGCAGTTTGAATTGTGTATAAATGGAGAATGATTTACAGGCGCAGCGGCGGGAAGCTCTGAACTGAGCATGAAATTAAGCACTTGTATATTTATCTGTACCTTACATTAAACTATAGTATGGCTTCAGAACATTTGGGATATAGTAGCCCTACATGACAACTTTCTAGTGCCTTACAATAGGCTGCCTTCCTGGCTTTTGTTGGCTTATAAATTACACAGAATATAGTGCACACCTAGGATCGGGTTTGGATCGATACCAGCTGGCCAATACCCGATCCAGCAAAAATATGCTCTATGAAACCGATATCCGATCTAAGTATCGGGATCGGTGCATCCCCCCAAACCCCTCAGTATTTTGTCCACTGATTGTAGATGTGCACATTGAAATATTGATGGTGAAATTGTATGTTGAGTCAGTCCTAGTGATTCAGCAATGCTGAAAATGTTCAGGTGGTAGTTTCCTAAACCTTTCCAGTCAGTTCTGCTGCAGACTCATTCAAATACCTGCCTATTTAGGCAATGATATAGATGTGTATGCTTTTTTGGCATTTAAGTATCCACTTCTATTGCCAATCTCAGGCAATTCTTCCCACCTAGCTCAGCATGGCTTTAAAAGACTTTCAGCTAGCAGACTGAGGGAGTGGCCCTGTGATTGTTGCCGCTTTTAATGAGGAGTAAATCCGCAGCTAAAGAGCGATAAGTAGGGAAATATAGTTAAGGGAATCCACAAGATATCGGCCTATTAGCCCGGTCGTGTAAGACAGCGTGGCGTGTGGTTTCTTGGCGACAGATCAGGGTCAGCTGGGGCTTTTTTTTGTGACAGGGGTGTAAGTGTGTGCGAGTGGCAGCTGCCTCAGTGCTGACACAGATTAGCGTCCAGCTGCCTGCGCCAGTGCTAATCCACACGGCATAACGAATGCAGCAGTAGATCCCAGACTTTTGTATGACACAGTGCTGAATCTAAATCTCCATTCTGTGGATTTCAGAGATATTTTCATCTTCAGTTTAAGGATTTAAACATGTACTGTAATGGCATTTTAGCATAACAAAACAAGTAGTTCCCTTTAGGTTTTTTTCTTAAAGGGATAGTTCACCCAAAAATGAAAATTCTGCCATTGTTTACTCCCTTCACTTGTTACAAAACTTTTTCTTTCTTCTGTTGAACACAAAAGAAGATAATTTCAACCTGAAAACCTGTAACCGTTGACCAGTGGCAGATTTAGGTTTGATCAATATGGGATATCACCCAGGATGGCATCTTGCTGGGGGTGGCACGGGGAGACAGTGCAAAAAAAAGTCCCCTAGTAAAAGCATTGAGATATGATTTACTTTATGCAATTGTATTAATTTAGAGTGGTAATCCCAGAAGAAAGACTTTAGAGGCCATTTACGTTTGGCATCTTCTGCATGCACAAGTTTGCTATTCTCGATGTGCAACCGAAACAACGCTGGTGAAAGCAAATTGGAGCATGCGCAAAGAAAACAATTCCCACTCTCCTCACGTGCTCCTGTGTGAATTCTGGTTGTTTGCATGCACGCTGATAAAATACACACTGCTTATGCACTGTGAAACCAGAGTAGCAGCCTTTTGTGCAGAAGTGTCGCCACAGCGAGTTTTGCAAGTCAACAAAATTAAAGTTCGCCCAGGGTGCCATTTAAACTAGAACCGCTACTGCCATTGACTTCCTATGTATGTTTTTTTCACTATGGAAGTCAATGGTTACAGGTTTTCAGCTTCTTTCAAAATATCTTCTATTGTAAATAGAAGTAAATAATGAGCAAATTCAGATTTCAGGGGGAACTATCCTTTTAAATTTGAGTGCACATCAATTTTAGTTATGTTATTGTTTGTATAGGTTGTGGTTCGTATTAACAAATGTTGAAACCACTATGGGAACGGGACATAGGAGATCTGTTGGTTATCTTTTCTGCTGGAGAAACTGTTGTCCTAAAAACTAAAAACAGAAATAAAAAATCTTACATGTAAAATTTTTTTTATATATATGACAAATGAGTTCTTTAATTTATGCATTTCTCCCTGTATTGAAGACACTAGTTTGTATTAAAATGAGCTTGGAAATGAAAAGGAGTGGTTTGTTGTGTGTGTGTGCAGCCTCTGGGAGGTGGGTAAATCCAGCTTAACTCTGCAGCTGGTTTGAGTTTCGCTGACCCATATCCTCTCTGGGCTCCCCGCCCCAGTGACCAATATACACAGAAGCCCACTGAACCTCTCACCTCAAAAACACAATAATGTCGCCTCAACCTTTAGTGTGTTTACTGTTGGTTATATATTGCTATTTGTTGCTATTTGGTTATATATTATATATTGCTAGGGAACATAAAACATAATATCATGCATATATTATTATTAGGCTGGATCATATCAACAATTTTGTGACAGTTTGATGAAGCCTAAATGCTTCAGTCCTCAATAATGTAAAGGATTTAAGAAAGTAAATGGAGTCCGTTCCTATTTAATTTAGATTTTAAGGTATAGTTCATCAAAAAATGCAATTCTGTCATCATTTATCCAGTTGTTCAAAACCTGTTTGAGTTTGAACACAAAATAAGATATTTTGAAAAAATGTTCATTGCTGGTATCCATTGACTTCCATTGTACTTATTTTACAACAGT